CGCCAGGGGCTCCCATCACTCTTACAATCCACACGAGCCGCCCACAGCGGCCTGCAGGGCTCCCCTTCCCTCGCTCAGGACACCCACCAGCCGGTCTGGAATTTGCCAGACTCCTGCCCCTTCTGCAGCCTCTCTGCACCCTCCCCAGGTCTGTGGGGCGGCCTCTGCACCCTCCCTGTGCCTCAGGAGCACCTCTCAGGGGGACCTATCCAGGCTTTAGTTCCAGCTCTGGCCCCGAGGGGCCCCAACTCTCTACCATCTCTTTTACTGATTGATTTTTAGAGAGAGAGGGGGAGGGAGAAAGAAGCATCAATTTGTTGTTCCACTTAATTGCATACATCAATTGCTTTCTAAAAATATATATATTTTATTGATTTTTAAAAAATATATTTTACTGTTTTTTTACAGGGAGGGAGAGAGAGGGATAGAGAGACACATCGATCAGCCACCTCCTGCACACCTCCTACTGGGGATGTGCCCGCAACCAAAGTACATGCCCTTGACCAGAATTAAACCTGGGACCCTTCGGTCCGCAGGCCGATGCTCTATCCACTGAGCCAAACCGGTTAGGGAAGTCGCTTCTTTTTTCAAATTTTATTTTATTCATTTCAGAGAGGAAGGGAGGAGAGCTAGAAACATTAATGACGAGCCCTGGCTGGTTTGGCTCAGTTGAGCGTCAGCCTGTGAACTGAAGGGTCCCAGGTTTGATTCTGGTCAAGGGCACATGCCTGGGCTGTGGGCTCGATCCCCAGTGGGGGACCTGCAGGAGGCAGCCGAGCAATAATTCTCTCTAATCATCCTAAATCCTGATGCCCCTCCCCTGCAACATATAACTCTTACTATTCAAAAAATGAACTCCTGCCGAAACCGGTTTGGGTCAGTGGATGGAGCGTCGGCCTGCGGACCGAAGGGTCCCAGGTTTAATTCTGGTCAAGGGCATGTACCTTGGTTGCGGGCACATCCCCAGTAGGAGGTGTGCAGGAGGCAGCTGATCGATGGTTCTCTCTCATCGATGTTTCTAACTCTCTCTCTTCCTTCCTCTCTGTAAAAAATAAAATATATCTTAAAAAATAAAATAATAAATTGAACACAAAATGTCATATTCACAAGGCACTGAAGCCCCAGAGAAGTTATATATGAGAAAAAATGCTTTAGGGAGTGATGTGGGTTATATACTTATAAATGTCATGTTACCTAGGTATTCTTCCCCCGCCCCCCTCCCCGCTGCTGCTGCTGTTTTGCAAGGAGGGCTCTGC